GGCCTTTGTTACTGTTTTTCATCAGTGGACAAAATACATTAGTGCTAAAGTCACAGATATAACAGACTCTGTTTTAACCAGTCGGAAACAACATTTAAGACTTGTGTTTAATATTCTTTTAGTCATTGGAAATATTGAACTTAATCCAGGTCCAGATAAAAATGCTTTTATGTCCACTTTTTTATATTTTATGGGATTTTTATACATATGTTTTTAATAATTATCTTGACCTGGGTTTGTGCACAGGTCTACCTTATATAAATCCAACTCAGTTACAGTCTACACAGGGATCTATATTATATCCTGAAAAGGTTAGACAACCTCCTGTTATGTCAAGTCTGAACACTACATCAGTAAGAAAGCAAAAGCTATTTTCCTGTCTAAAAAAAAAAATCCAGGGACGCTAAATCAACTAGGTTAAATTAGAGGCTTTAAAATCTGTCATTTAAATATGAGAAGTCTTGTACCTAAACTCAATGAATTCAAAGTAATATTTGCTCAGACACAATTAATTAATTAATTAATTAATTAATTTTTTGCCTCTTCTATCATTTATGTCATAAACATAAATAAATATATATATTGGATAAAAGGCAATTTTTTAAATTAAATTATAAATATGTCAGCAAAAGAAAATAGAGCCCTAATTGTTTATAAACAATTTTAAAATATGACAATCTTGTTCTTTCACCCAGCTGTTTTCATACGAGAGTGCAGATGTGATCCGTTGTTAAGAGGCCTCTAAAAGCAGACCTGTTGTGAACTAATGACTTGTTTTTTTAATGCTCTGAAACATTAAATTTATGAGAATTTGCTCATCTGAAAGTTACAGTTTGGGTATTTATTCATATCTAATACAGACCTGGAACGTGCGTCGACCGGGAGCGGTGAACTCAAAACAGGCGTTTTTCTTGGAGTCTTTTCTCAGGTTGCTCGCCAGCTGCACGCCGTATTCACCGATATGAAACGAGCCTTTCTGCTGTTTATCTGTGAGGGGCAAGGACATATCATAGGATGTAATCTGATTCAGTGTCTGCAGCTGGGCAGGGTTCTGCCTCCTGGACGACATAACAAACCTTTTTCACTCCCAAAGTAGTAAAACACTGTGTTGTTTAGGACACACCACCGTTTCTGCCACTCTGAGCCGAAGAAGCTGTGATCTGAAGGAAGGTGCATACAAAAACAGAGTTAGAACCGGYAAAAGATGAGATTTTAAATAATATTTAGTCTCACCTTTTCGTTTCTTTTCCAAGTAGCCTTGCTTTAACACGTTGACGAGATCCTGAGCTCCTAAAATGGGGATGTCGTCAAAAACTGTTGGTAAAAAAAAATTATTATTCAACCACGTTACATTTGAAATCAGTCCAAATTAAAACAAAAACAGCAAATCTTTTTAAAAAGTTTGTATCAAATGAAAAAGTTCAAAAAGYGCTCTGGATAAATTAGATTAAACAACAATTTTGTTGGTTCAGTCAGACGACTAATTCACTAATCAATAAAGCGTTTCTGAGCCGACGCCAAATAAGCTGCACTTAAACTTGCTCTCCCTCCTGAGGCAACACGTGYGCACGCATCAGAATATAAATCCTCGGACCCCTTCGGATCAAACACATCCCCTGCAGGCTTCAAGAAACCCGGATCGATACATTTACAGTGCTACTGAGCCCTACAGTCCATTCATCTGCTCACGTAACGATTTAATGAGAGCAACCTTCTTGTGGGAACTCCACTTTGCAAACATGATAGGACAACGGCAAAACTAAAAAGCCTTAAAGGAATTAATGCAGTAGTTAGGTAATGCACATTGCAAATGCTTTACTTGTTGATTAACATTAAATTTGTTTTAACTTTTCCTTTCTTGTCATATTTACTCAGCAACAAGATATCTGACTCGTCATTTAATGCTGAATTTCTGACAGTTTGCAGCATTTTTAGCCCTCAAACATTACAGCAGAGCTCAACTCTTGGACGGCCTTAAAGTGCCTGTGACATCAAATTTTTGCTATRAATACGAAAGCATTTTTGGAAGGATAACTATGATGACATATTGCAAAAAAATTCACGCTGCTGAAATGAACAATTGTTGAATTATTAGTATGTGAAGTGAAAGGAAGTGATGTTACGAGAGTAATGTCCCAACAGAGCAGTGCTAGAGAAGAATCTGATGTTCTTTGGACCATTTTGAGTCACTTTCAAGGAGAGATGAAGAAGAGTCAGAGTTCAAATAATGTTTCAATAAATAAACTCCAGTGAGTTCCCTTTTCCTAAATAATACTCTAATGATGTCACTTCCTGTTACATTTCATCTTGGTCAAATTAAAAAGAAAATATGCCAGTTATGTACACAAAAAGTGTAAAATCATGTGTATTATACCAATTTTCTTTAATRTAAATATGTTTTCTTTGACTTTTGGGCCATCATTGATGGAGCTTTTAAACARGAGTACCTGGATCTTCTTATGTGTCAGAAACAAAGCTGAGCTTCCTCTGAATTCATTAGTCAGCAGGAGAGAAAACGCAGAAGAAGAGCGAGAAACAGAGAAACACTTTAAACGCCATTTACATAAGTCAGCATGACACCTCTATTCAGGCCACAGATGACAGGGGAAATGCCTGCAGTCCACCCCCCGTCACCTCAGAAAGGGTCTGCTTAACCGCCTGGAGAAGCCAAACATGTCAAACCACAACTGGATACTCTGGCTTAAACAAACAGCATCCCCCGCCAACAAAAAAAAAACCAAAACAAAACTGCTGTTTACTGGAGTTTTTAACGTTTGAATAACTTTGATTAAGACATAAAGGAGAAGCCGAACAGTTCAGAGATTTACAACAAGCCTGAGCCGCGTCGGCTTCTGGTTCTGACAGATGAGTGGGTCATTCCTGCGCCGTGCTCGCAGCACTAACACTCTCACATATCATCAGCCTGCCTCAGTGGATGGACTGACCGGTGACACCGTAAGTACAGGGGTGCTAAGGACTGTTTTGTCAAAGAGAACTTGATTCGGTACATCATAACAAACAGCGATCGTTACGCTCCTCCACCTCATTTATCCGCCGGCAGCCTGTCTGTTTTTTTTTCTTCTTCTTCTTCTTCTTCGCCTTACTTCCCTGTTGTGGCTCACTTCTAATCCCCCTCATCTGTCTGCTTCCTTCGCTCTTCATTTATCTCAAAGGTCGAGCTCGGATAATAGATGAGGAGCTAAAAAAAATCAACACAGGATCTCTCTGARCTGCTCGAGTCAATAAACATTACACATTCAGCTTGAAGCTTTATCGCCAGGTGACCTGACCTCACTCGTGCGTCCTTTTTGTGAGAAACTTTWAAAAAAATGGGAGCAAAAGCCCACATTAGTTCTTGATTCTTCCACACGGTAGCAGCACAACCTAAAAACATCTCTACTCCGTTAGTGCTGCATGATCCCCCCCTAAACAAAAGCAGAGTCTGATTGGTGTGGAGTTAAAAATGCCTCCTTTGATGAAAATCACTCCCTAACACCTCTTTGGGACCAATGCAACCTTTAAGTGGATATTTAGAGGCAATGTTATTTGAAAATGTGTAATTTAGAGCATTAAATAAACCCAAAAACCATCATGGTGTTTGAGTTTTGAGTTGGAGAACAGACACAGAGAGACACATTAATGCATCTAATTAGGGCCTCATCAAAATCGCAGACAGACGGCACTCTTTCATAAAAATCATAAATTGCGTTATCAATTATTCAGGGCAATGCCGCGACTTCATTTTCATCTCTTCTGCGTTTTAATTAGCACCATCCACAGCTTTGATATTGACATTAATTTGATGGCAATTTATTGATATTTCAGCATAGCCTATTTAGCCGAGTGCAATTACCAACAAAGAGGAGCAGATAGATGCGATGTTGGGCGTCGCATCCCGCCTTTCGTAAATCAAGGTGAGGAGTTGCTGCGGGCCCCGCTAACTGAATCTAACGGCTCTCGGCGGTCATCAAATACGAAAAGATTCGAGCCACCCAATTTCCAAATGGAGGGAAATAATCAATGGAAATGTGTGATTCTGACAGAGGAACGTCTCCATAAGTGAGCCGACCTGTGTGACGACAAGCGATCGGTTCCGCCGCCGTCCTGAACTCGTGTTAAACTCGGGAGAGGGACGCACGGCGATGCATCTGAGCTGCCACCGATTCGCTACAACCGCAATCTCTCATTTGGTTATTCACACTCCCTCAGCATGGCGTTATGAGCTCAGCAGTTGATCCTGCAAGAAAAAGCTGATTTATGTTAGCATGACCAGAGGGAGTTAATGTATTCACTCATTAAAATCCACTTTAGTTAGGCTGAAAGTCAATCAAAGGCTGGATGGAGAGTGAATCAAAGTGAAGGGAAATGGTCGAGTGGGAGGACTCGTGTGATGCATTAGATGGTCATAACGCAACAAAGWTGGTGTGAAAAACACAAAAATGGGCTGAAGATGTTGACGGTTCTCGAGCGTCTCGTCTCTGAGACAGTAGGACGGAAGTCAAGGCGAGATTCGGTCACAGCGGGAAAAGGGGGCCGCACTGATACAAAAAGGGAAATACAGAAGGGTCTTTATGTTTTCAATTTAACGCTTAAAAAACTACTGACTTTAAAAGGTGGGATAAAACAAACATTCTTTGAAGCTGCAGAAAGACGTCTTTGATTTTCCTATGATTATCTAAATAAGAGCTTGTGATCTCAATTCACTACACATCATTGTTAGTTTCATTATTTTTCTTTTCCTTTCATGATATTAAAAAGATAAAAGTTGTATTCTGTCATAATATTTGTAAATGTGGGAAAGTAAACACGACTGGTCTCTTCAGGTATAAATATATAATAAATTAAAGCCGTATCTATCATTTTATTTCTGAATGTGGTTTATTCTCTTTTACCTGTTAAATATTTAATCCAAGTAGTCTAATGTTGATTTAAACTCATAGATATTACTTATATTACAAATCTATTAAGTATATTCTTTTTGTATGCCAGGCTTTCAGCATAGATAGCTTCACAAAGTGGCAAAAACTATATTTTTCAGCCAGCGTTAACAGAGAAGGTGCATATTTTTCTGATTAAGAAATTTTTTTTAACAATGGTGATCTCTAAATGAACATAGTTTATTTCCATTTTTTTATTTAAATGCTAACAAATTTCTAGTTTGGTTTATTCTTTTGAATTATGAGTTATTTTAAAGTATAAAAAGCTAAAATTAAACTTTAAGTTTCCACCTAAAGAGAGACTTTATAATGGTTATAATTAAGTAAAAGTTTAAAAGTTTATAAAAGTTTAAAACAACTTAAGTTAGCCAAAGTGATGAACAAAAAATCCCACTATCACAGGCGTATAACAATAAATAAAAACATAACAATCAAAATAATAAAGTAAAAAATATCAACTTTAATAAATAAAAGCAAAGAAGAATTTGATTTTAGAATCCTGCGATAACAAATGTCTTAAGCTCTTTTTTTTTTATAAACCTTAATGGTGAATAAGCAGTTGAAATTTAAGGGCTGTTCTGCAATTTGCTGCAAGATGCTGACTGATCCAGATCCTGGAACGCCCAAACAGATCCGTTTAGAAGATCTGAGCTTGGTGCAGAATCTGGTGCAAGATTGCTCCGAGGCTTGTAAACAAAAACAGGAAGTCTACGAGGAGGCACTGAGAGAGAAGTGATTCTGGTTCTGGTACCAGTTTAAAGTCTAGCTGCTGGACTCGGAACCAGCTGCAGACGGGACAACAGCGACTGACTGAGTAAATCAACGTTTTGCCGTGTTCGGCTGTGAAACTCCAGCTGAAAGGAAGATCAGAAAGTTATCCTCGAGCACGGGAGCTTTCCCGGCGCCTTTTCGACACGCGAGGCATCGCACTGAATGCAGCATCAGGGGGGCAGGACCTGACCCCCGCGTGAACCCTGCTGATGAGGTGAAACAGAAGGCACGGAGAGGCTCCCCGGCCCTGAGGGGGCTGCGGGCAGGAATGCTGCTGATTCTACTGACGAGGGGACCGCAATCCTCTTCGATACTGTCCTTGATTAGGAAAAAGGATTCACTCGGTGCACCTTCACCCGCCTGGCGCTCAATCTGCGCGCAGGCCGAGCTAAATTGATACATTTTTCCTCATTACAGTGGGAGGCCTCTGCTGCGGGTCCCTCCAGCGAGACGGCCGTCAGAGAGGAGGAGAGAGACTGAGAGGCACTGAGGTTAAGGGCAGAGCGTCTCCTCGGCCCTCCTTCCCTCCCCCTGATTTGATTAGGACTTCAGTCATCGATACATAAACCATGTTTAGAACCTCCTAATGCATGTGTTTGAACCAAA